GCTGGTTGAAATACTTCAGAATACCTACAGCTATAATATACGAGTACAAGAAATGTGTAACAAAGTATTATGGAATATGAATTTAAAAACAATTCCGTTATCTTCAAATTCTACTACTCGTATGTATAATGCAATTTTTAGTAAAAACTGCGATATTTCACTGCGCAGTACTCGCGGAATATAACGTGTGAGTTTTTGTAATGATAATTATTAATTAATATAGATTGTAAATACAAAAAAATGATATGAGAAAGTTTTGGGGCTTAATAATATAACTATGACATAGGTACGTGTACAATATTATAATAATAATAATTTTAATAATATTATACATCGCATACATTTATAATTCAACGCCGTTTCACAACTCATTGCAAGTTTTCACTAACAAAACATTAGATTTTATTGAAATATTATATCGGCTAGTTCGATAAATTTTCGAATTTTATGAGGGCACGACTGTCGTATTATAGACGTGATTCATTAGGTCGGAGTCGAACTATTAGCGCATTTCGAGCGCTGCCTTTCGATCGTAATTTAATTCAAGTTCTCGGTTTTAAATTAATATATGCGCACACATCGTAAAATTAAAATAAATAATTTGATGTTGCTATTTCAATTTTAACGCGTCGCGAAAACGCTCAAAATATAATAATAATATGATAAACACGCGGTGCAGTCGCTTCATCTGTCTTGTAAGGGCGTTTTGTTCGGTGATATTCAGTCGGCTTCCGTCGTCGCACGAGTGAGTGAAAAAAAAATTATAATCGCCTAACAAACCGTAAAGTCTCGCGATTATCACCGCGTGGAGTATGCATATTATAATTTACTGCATAGGTAATAATATCATATATACGCGCGTGACGGCAAATTGTTTTTTCCTGAATTATAATTTTTAATTTTTATTAATATCGTAACGGACGAATTGAAAAGCATGATATATAAAACCTTATGAAGTCGGTTTCACAACCCGCGGGCCTGGGTATATACCGCGTATACATAAAAACTATAACATATTTAACATATATTGTATTATGTATATACTAGCTAGGTGCATATTTAATAATACAATGTAAATACCGCCTATAGTACAGTAAAAAGAAAAAAACCGAAATACCAAGGCGAATGCGATTATTATTATTATAATTTTTTCGCGAGATATATCGAAAGCCCATTAAAAAATGTCGTTCACACAACACGATAATAATTTAATATGATATATCATTGTAGCCGGTCTGCTGTAATATTATAGGGATTCGGTTCAAGGACGACTCTGTCTACTGCATTTTGCAACGAACCACCGTAAATCGTTAAAAAATACGAACGTTTTAAATAATAATAATATGATTATGTTACGTACCTATACCTGTTGATACGTTTCGTTTCTCAGACGTCTGAGGACATAGTTTTTCGCCAAAACGACATCTTGCAACAACGATCTAACAGGCCAACACATCCGGAGCCATCAACGAATTATACAATGATCATAATTTTATGTTATACATAATTATTGGTTCGATTGAGATTGATGTAATAATAATAATTTATTTATTTACATGTCTACAATACAATTTTGTTCAACAACACAATATTATCTCCAAAAGTCTAAGCTTGGGGAGGAGACAACATGAAGGTCTTAATAAAGTATTTTTTACATATTTATCTGCATTAACTCATGATAAATTGTTATATAATGTACGATATCAATAGTAAAGTTTTTATTTTATTATATTGAAATATATCTGCAATCTATACAATTTTTATGTACAATAGGTTCACATAAATCTTATAATTAGTTAGAGCACCCAGTGGTAACACCTTATATATGGTAGAGTTAAAGATGAGAATTATGGCATAACAATTTTATATACACTCGGTATTTGTCTCATATTATCTTATATAGGGTGATTGACCAAACGCGGTCAACTTTATTTTTCCTTAAACAATGAATTTATTCAAATTCTGGTTTTTGGAATTTTTAAGAGTTAATAAGAACCATTTCGACCACGTTGTCAAATACTTGGATTTTTATCTAAAGATTTACCGGCAATTTATACCACTTATTTTTTACCCAATGTAATCACTTTTTTCTCTGTGTATTTTTAAGCATATGACATTTTTGGAAAATTTGATTTACCTAACTTGGAATTCAGACGATTAGTTTTTGAATTATTTAGCTTTGTGTATTAAGGATCTATGATAATAGGTTTGGATTATAATATAATGAAGGCTATATTATTATGATGATTTGAACATTTTAGTAATTACTAATTAATAGGTATTATTCTATTAACATTTTATAATTAGTAATTAGTAAAAATAAAAATTGTCCAAGTATTATATATGTAGGTACTAGATTAATTATTATATATATTTTATATTTTTATAACAATATTTTTAAGGACTATTATAAATTTTTATTATTTTATGTACTTACTTAATAAATACATTACAATAACTCAGAAATTACTCGTTCAAATGTTGATAATGTTACATCAACTTTTTCAAAATAACTGTCTGCTTAACATATGTTGATAAAATAGTTTTTGTTTGGAGGTTAACATGCATGTTTGGTGATTGGTGAATCACTCTGTGATATAGAATATACATCCATTTATCGAGACGATAATAATATAATGTCAACGTTACGGGAAATTATATATTAAACAGCTGCAGACTATCGATTAGTACTATTCGGTTTTATCTACATCCTCATTCGACATAATGTAGCAAAATATGAAAAATATGACATATTTTTATAATATTATGTTATTAGTTATTATATTATACTTTATTTGGTTTCTCGTATTTATAATATTATAAATTATAATAATAATTAATAACACTAAATATCTTATTTTAAATTTGAGATATTTTAAACGCTTTGACTATGATTAATGATTATAATCATCAAATTGGTTTGTCCACAGGTCATTATGTATACATAGGTAGTGAAACTTCTAAATACCTAATGTTCTCTGTTTCTTGTTTAATTTTGTCCGCTGTAAAAAGTTTGTAATTAGTTTCCGAAGAATGATCGCTATGTATGGTTTCAGTATAATACATAATAATATGATATTATTATACGTACAATACACGACATCATAATACAGGTATATTATACAGGATGTCTCAAAAAGTGTATAAGTATTCGTTTATTTTATAATATATATAATCCTCAAAAAAACTACTTCGGAGAAGTAAAAAAGGCTTTCTGTGCGTAAGTTGAAGAGATTGGGAGAAAAGATAGAACTTTGGTGTTAATAAAGATGTGAAATCAATCTCAAAGTTCTGTGCCAAAAAGGGCCACGGTTGAAAAAATAGAATTTGGGGCTTAATAAAGAAGTGAAATCAATACCCAAATTATGTGCCTAAACTTGAAAAAATATCTTATTCAAAAAAATTTCGAGATGTTCAACTGTACAAACATTAAAAAAAAATATTAGCACAGAACGGCGTGAATTACAGTTTGTCAACAAAAATTCGAATCAAACAGATTAACTCGTAAACAAGTCGACAATTTATGGCTAATTTTATTAATTCATCATTATTGTACGCCGTTCTGTGATAATATTTTTTTTTAATGTTTGTACAGTTGAACATCTCGAAATTTTTTTGAATAAGATATTTTTTCAAGTTGAGGCACATAATTTGGGTATTGATTTCACTTCTTTATTAAGCCCCAAATTCTATTTTTTCAACCGTGGCCCTTTTTGGCACAGAACTTTGAGATTGATTTCACATCTTTATTAACACCAAAGTTCTATCTTTTCTCCCAATCTCTTCAACTTACGCACAGAAAGCCTTTTTTACTTCTCCGAAGTAGTTTTTTTGAGGATTTCAATTATTTTTCCGAAGCACGTTTTACTGTGATATACTGAGGTTTATCGTTTATATATTATATTATATTTATGGATTACATTTTTTCTAATTATTATTTTTATTTGTGAATAATAATTGTATAAAAATAGAAATACAATATAAATGTTTATAATTATATAATATATAATTATTAATTATAAATTTATATTGATAACACAATTATTTAATAATAATAATTATTATTATAGTATTAAAATAGTAATAATAGGTACATATTTACGTAGCTGTTGTTTTGTAACAATAAATCGCGTAAAATAACGTATGTAATAATGTAAATGCACGAGACCTCGGTATCGCAACAACGCGAGTACGTAAAAAATATTTTATAATATAATAAAAATAAATAATAATTAATAATAATTCTGCAAACGTAAAACTAGCTAGCTGTAAATAGCTGTTGTTATGGGTGAGGTTCGCGGTACGGTAGCGGCCGGCTCGTGGCGGTTGCTACGGCGCGGCGTTGGATGACGTTGCTATGACGGACGAAAGAAAAAGACTCACAAAACTGCAGTTTTTAGCTCTGTCTCTCTCGCACTCTGCATTCAACCAATGCGTGCGAGTGAGAGGTCCGAGCGCCGAAACGAAACTTAATGTATAATAGTCTCGCTATCGGTTGTCAAGGTGCTGTTTCTTATCGGTGTTACTTATGCACAGAAAGGAGTCTCTAGCGAGACTCTTCGATAATATGTACCTATATTAAGTATATATTATAATCCTCCTGGCACTTAAGCTTAAAGACTCGTATAACCAAGATCTTAACTGAGGGAGAGGGTCCAGAGTTTGCAACCCCGAGTTTTTTTTTAAAAGTTGAACAATTTTAGCAGTGAATATTGCTTATTGACTAATTGCATAAAGAATAATTTTATATTCCCGTTAAAGAAGTTTTAACGAGAATAAAGAGTTTTTATATCTTGAGCGTTTTTAGAATATGAGAGTCCAGTATTCATATGAAAATAACGCTGGACCACCCCCCTCCCCTTTGCCCTCCCACCTTGAAATTTGTTTTCTGTTACGCCCTGCATATATCCTTACACACCTATTATGGGCATTATTCAATTATTGTACCAACAAACAATTTTCTAATCCAGTTTTAAAAGTATTTTGTTTTGTTATTACAGAACTGCTTGCGAAACATTACACGACAATAAATGCTCACGTGCGAAAGCAGTTCGCCCAACAGTTGAACGTGTACTGCAACAAAACGGTATTGGACGAAGGACCGGAAGAACCTCACCAGTACCAATGGACATACTACAACGCATTTTTTTTCGCTCTGACCACGCTGAGTACGATCGGTAAGTATTATGATGATAAACGCCTTTAAGTTGAAGAATTTTCAAACTATATTCTTACAGAAAATTTGTAGTTGTGATGAATACATTAAAAATAGGTAGGTTTAATAGGTTTATTAAATATTTTAACGTTTGCAAGGATTAAGGATTGGCTATCGGAGATTTCTCTATAATATTATACTTTGACATGGCAAGTGATTCTTTAATATCCTGGAAGATTTAAAAAATATTTTTTGTCATAATTTCAGGTATATTAAGACATTTTTGAAAAAAATTAATATTTCATATTATTTTTATCGTTATTATTTTTCAAGTGTAAGTATTACTTTTTTTAATCACAACATACTCTTTTAATTTCAAATTCGGATGTAAAATAATATTCAAAATATTTCGTTATATGAAAATCGAATTTCTGTAAGTCGACAGTATAAACTATAAGTATTTAAAGCTTATAGATGAGATGGTTGCACAGTGGTACACCACAGAATGTAATTTAACAAGATAATCACCCTTCACCCCGCAGTATAATAACGGAAGTGGTAGTCTGTATATTATGCGTATAATATAATACGTCATTGTAATCACCATTAGGTATGCAATATTATACACTTTTTGATTCAAGATTTTCCGACAGTCAGACAAACGGGTTTCGGGTGGATCGATCAGCCTTAGGAAAACGAAACCATCAGCGAACTACGCGTGTACCTACCTATATTATATTAATATTTACGACCTCCGAAAACCGTAAAAGTGAAGTACAGTGTATGCACCAATGCACCATGCACAAATTATTACAATCATGATTATAATATATATTATATACCCATATATTATTATGTATTAAATTATGTCTTAGCACCCCATCGAGTATTATAATAATTTTAACAACAGTATTGTCTCTGTGTACAGAGTTACGACCACGATAAGTATATGAGTGGGTACACATAATATATAATATACATTATGTACATTGTACATAACATGCGTGCGTGCAAAACGCCGCCACATTGCGATTTTCGTTTTTTTTACGATCGTCGTTTAACCCGACACGTACACACGCAATTATATTATTGTATATTACCTACACGGCTGCATCCTAATCGCCAACTAAAACGATTTATCTCCTTTTATGTTATTATTATACGAATTAGCGTAATATACATATTATATAAACTACGTATCTACGCAATGAATGAATTATAGGTACCTACGTGTAATTCGCCGTTTAATATAATATTAAAACGTGCTGTAATAGCTATAATATTATTATTATTATGTACATTGTCCACTAACCATTGGCATGGATCTAAATCATAGATAATCTAAACATGGACAGGGATATACCTGTTCCTTATATATATTATGCCTACCTTCATAAAAAATCTGCTATATGGTATAGTGAGATATCATAGCGGTCATCATATTACGTGGGCACGGCTTATGAAAATCATTTTATCAACATAATATTGTTTCAATTAATTTCAATATTATTTTTTTTTTTTTTGCTTTTTTTGGTTAATAATACTGTAATAAAATTTGTCATAATGTGTTATTGTTTATTTAATATTATAATCAGCGGTAATGATACCACAACCTGAATTGCATGTTACCAGTTTGATAAGTGATAACTATATAGTGGTCTTGTAAACGCCTTGTTTACAAGACCACGGTAACTAAATACAAATATGCTCTTCGATCACACTTGAATAGAATGCATGTCCTAGCCATGCAACCATATTGTATAATATTATTACTATCTATGAACTAATAACGCATTGCACATTTTATAGTCGAACCGATCACGGATCGCATAATGTTTCGAAGGTTTCGTTGTTACGAAAATACTTACTATATTGTTGAAAATTTCTCACTATAACTTTAATAACATTGCATACGATTTTTATGGTCTATGATCGTTTTCGGAAGTAAAAGTAATCGACGGTAAAACGGCATCTGCCGTCGGACAATAGTAAAATAATCTGCTGGGCACTCTCCAAATTTGATATTCAATACCTACGCCATGCGTAAATGTAAGGGACCGTCATGAAAGTGACTTGAACGACCCTATACGAAGTAACATAATATTATTAGTTAAATAAAAGATGTAAAAAATAGATCATCGTACTATCAGATTGCAATCACATTGAATATTATTGTTGATTGTGATTACTTCGTATATTATAATATTATGTACCTATTATAGGTTATGGAAATCTGCACCCGACTTCCGGTACCGGACGCATACTGGTGTTGGTGTACTCGTTGATCGGCATCCCCCTCAACGGTATCGTGTTGACTCAACTGGGAAGCTTTTTCGAATCCAGAGTGAGTATATTATACAACATAAGCCGAATTTCCTTCGGTTCTGTGCATAGGTTTAAGAATTGAATATCCGCCATCACATAACTATTCTCCTGTTTTTCTTGATCTCGACGAAATATCGATAGCTGATAGAAAGGTTGATACTAATCTTGTGTTTTCGTTTAAAATTATTAATTCCTATTTCCGATGTAGATGCTCCATTATTACTGGATATACTATCAATTTCCTCGTCCCTCCTCGGAATTTTCATTCATTTTCTATTTCCGTTTTCCAACATTTTATCTAAAAAAACAATGATATTTTTTTTAAAGTCATGAGGGTTTTTACAGTAAAATAAAATAGACGCCAAGGGTATTAAAAAACTGAAAAACCGATTGCTCGCAAAAAACTAAAAATTCGTATTTTAGTTCCGCCCAGTTTTGTACGGGATTCGCGATAATACTTTATAGGGGGACCCACCCTCAGACATGTAAAAAAATGGGAAAACGCATTTCTGCGTACACTGAAGTCATAATATATATATATATGTGTGTTATTTTGATATAATGATAAATAATTGACGTTGCGGTCGTCCGCTCACATAAACACAATGCGATACGCGTTTTGCGGGCGACCGATCGCTGCTGGACCGGATATAAATTTCCGGTACCGAAAACGATTTGCAAAAGATCGTGGTAGAGGCGATTACCGCGGGGTCGCCGTCGCGATGGTTACTAGGTAATAGGTATACTATTATTGGTATTTATGGTATTTAATACAGTTGCACGGTCAGCGAGTTCAATTACACGGACGTCGGACACGCACCCCCGACATAATAATCATTGTTGTGTACGCGTTCATTACGAGTGCAGTGTAGATACAATATGTTTAAATAATATGGACATATGGTACATTATAGTATGGTACATTACCCATGGTAAATTGTTATGCGATCGTATTATAATACATGTATAATATTATTCGGTGTAGTAAAGCGTCTGAGCTCCTGCACGATTTCTCAAGCGATTTATTAATCAGTCTAAATAAGGCATTTTCCTGTGATGAAGTGTTTGTAGAAGAAGTACCTACCTATGTATTACAATATGTTCAAATAAGACTCATCGTCGAAAATTAGCTCGATAAACCGACGACCGTATATTATTTAGCGGTACTCTCAAGTAATAATAATAGCATACATTGGATAAACAGATACGTGGTTACAAGACTATAATAACCATATTATTATCTATAAAATAAATATAGTTATGACTTTATTTTATTTAAGTACCTATATTAAAGGTGGGCCTATATAATATGTTAAAGTACTAAAAAAATTGTTAAGACACCCGACGGACGTATATTTTTCACGTTTATTGACTAAAATATATTGGTGTCATATTTTTTTACGATCGTCGACTCTGCAGTTGCAGATATCGCTTATTATTTTTTATATAAATATTTATTAATATTTATCCTCCTCGAGAAAACATTTAGCACGCCCATTTCGTATACGCTATGAGTCATAATACCATAGGATAATATAGGCAGATACACTAGTATTTCGTAAAACAAACAAAATAAAAAAATAATTTCTTCGCAATCGAATACGCGTTATACATGTTAAATATTATATTATGCTATATTATGATGTACGTCCGTCCATAAGGTTATATAAATATTATATTATACCACACCAATGTTATAGAGGTGGACGTGTAGTGCGTCGTATTTATATTACACTATAATATAATTTCCATTACCACCGAGTTTAATGTTTGAGTACAACGATCGAACACCGATTGAGTGAAATCAAAACGATAAAACGTCCGATTGTTAAGGCATACAAAAAAAAGTCTCTCGCTTATATAAAAATGGGTGACTAAAGGTGGCGTGAGAATATTGAGCAGTAGAAATATAGTCGAACGCACAAACGTCTCACGAGATCTTTGATAATATATATGTAATATTTATATCGCAAACTTTGTACTCCAGAAATCGTATTCAAAGGTCCCATCTCTATAGTCAGAAAATACACTTTTCTTTATGAAAAATAATTTACATAGATGGTCAAGCTCAGTTTGAAGGGTCACAAGACTCTCCTTCCCCTTTAAAATATAATTAGCATAAACAGCGGTTGAAACAGATTTTTCGTCCTTTTCCATTTTGAAATTTATTTTGTAACTTACTTGTGCCATAATATTTCCACCCCAAAATTCAAAACCGAAGGTGAATGAAGTAAATTTTGTTTTTGGCTCGAAACTTTTTGCGAGCGACCGATCAAAAATATATCAGAGTCGTGTCGTAGTTAAAATCGATAGTAGTGCACTGATAAAAGTTTTTATAGTAAAATATTGGTAGCAAAAACGCGTTTCCGATCATATTATAATGTATAAGATCCCGGTAGAGGTGTTATGTATTTCACCATTTTGCATAAATAAAAACTCATTTTTTATGTTTTTCTCCCCAAAACATTGCAGATTCTCCGAGCTCATTACAGCTACAAGACGCAAAGGATGATGGGACCCCAACTGAGCCTCATCCTGGACATAGTAACGTACCTGATACCCGGAATAATTGTCTTCATCTTCCTCCCAGCTGGCATCATATCCTTTTTTGAAGAGTGGACGTTCGACGAGAGCGTATACTTCACCTTTGTCACGTTGACCACCATAGGCTACGGAGACTACGTCGCCGGTAAGGTATAATATTTTGATAGTGATCGTGGGCAGACATTTTGATGAAATAAAAATCTGAAAAGATAATAATATAGCATAGGTAATATCAATGGTTGGCAAGTTAAAGAAAATAATTAACTGTGGCAAGTTAAGTTAATTCAATTAAATTGCCTTCAGTTAAGTTAAAAGTTAACAAGGAAAAAAAACTAGATAAGTTTAAAGTTAAGATAGAAAACAAAATTAGCTTATCTCAGTTAAAAAAAGTTAATTTTTTTGAAGGTAAAATATTTTTAAATCATAAACTACCATATTTACCAAGACATTTAACACTGTGAAACAAATTAGATTATTATAATATATAATTAGAAAATAAATTACCAAAATCGTAAAAAAGTCGATGAATCAGTATTGCCTACCTAGTTGATTACGCATGACTCGAAAAGAAAATTAACTTAACCGCACGACAGTGATAATTAACTAGTTGAGTTAAACATTTAAAAAAAAATTAACTTTTTAACAAGTTAATGCCCACCTTTAGGTAATATTAACATATTATTAGCATAATAACATTGTTAATTATACTTGAACGAAAAACGAATTAACTATTTATTTATTTATATTTTCCAATAAGTATTTAAATATAAATACACAAGTATAGAAAATATTTACAAATAGGCTTTCTTAAAATTTTGTATTGCAATTTTCCGGTCTATGCTAATTATCTTTATTTAGGGCTGGACGGTAAAAGATATAATTCATCACACATTTTCGTATACTATACTTAATGCTCAACGAAGTAAACACTTATCAACTATCCATGTGTAATATATTATTATAATATTGTCTGATTTCGACACGTAAGGGTAAGGGGACTCAGACTTTCGCATATTAAATAAGTACAATATAACAAACAATAAGCCGTCCAAAGAGCTTGTAAGCGTTTCATTGATTTAAAACTTTTTGAACACTCCGTGTGACAGACGGACCCGGTTATAACTGGACGACGACCGCGTAACCGCGTGTTTCAGGGCAGAAAGTCAACACGGGAATATCGTACGATGCGTACAAGGTGTTCCTGGTGTTTTGGATCATGTTCGGTCTTGGTTACCTGTTCATGATACTCAGCTTCATATCGAGGGCGATGCGGTCCAAGACGCTAGAACACCTGTTCCTGGAACGGCTCAAACAAACCCACTCGAAAATCTGGCACCAGTTCACCAAGGATGTCGTGTACATCAGACGCGTGCTTAACGAGTCGTACCTGTTGAAGTTTAAAGTTCGTTTAGCTGTTTTTCTATATAATATATAATATTGTTTATTATGTAAACCAATAGAACAAAAAAATCTATTAAAACGTAGGTATACTATACGTTTCGTTTCATGGCATGTGGGCTGTACAACAATATACTTTTATAAACATTTTTATGCAATTAATAGGTACGTCAGTTTGTCAGATATATGTATTTTTTAATTAGTACCCACCTATTTACACTCATTTAATGTTTGGATCTAACCATTTTACTTCACTTGTCTAAAGTTTTATTAATTATCTAATTCAACGATATTTTTACGAAATTATCACCATCATATTTGAAATTAAAACGATCGCAAGTTGCAGGTAATTAAAAAAATAATAGATCTGAAAAACCGTATAAAAACATAGTGGCATTTAACTATAATAGTTTTTAGTTATTACTCGTAAATATTTCGAATTTGTTCTCGGAATAGTATAATTATATCAAAAACACAAAAATCGACTTGGATTAATAAATAGTGTTTCTGTAAATGCACTTCAAGTTGGTGTGGTTTAATGATGGATCGACCGTCATGTTGTCAAGCTCTTAACGTACATTGCACTAATCCTCTCCCTTTTGGAATTCGGAGATTTCTTGTACCGATGAGTACAATAGTTTTGTTTGTTATTTGTTTAAATCTATGAGACGGTTTCCAGAATTTGTTCAAACAGGCCTTGTTCAGATTTTTGCATCGGTATAGAAATGTCAAGAATTGTTTTTGTGATTTTTTTTTATTTCATAATTAAATAACATTAATTTAATTTAGAACGCTATTTTTTAATTTGTTTGACTACAGCATTTGTTTTGACACCGATGAAAAATATGATGTAAGTTCTGTAAGTACGTTGAATAAATTCTGGAAACTATATTTTAACTATCAATCAAATTCAATCGAAAAACGTTCTAAATGATGACATAAACAAAACAAAAATGATAAATATAATTTGTGACAGCTCTCTGGGACTGGGGAAACGTGTCTATACCCCCTCCAATGAAAAAAACTGAAAGTGTATACTGACTAAATACAATATGAATGTGTTCATAGTAGTCTCAGATTCCAAAAGGGTGGTTGAAGGGTGGGTCAGTGAAATGTACTTGAACCATGTTACGTGTAATACAGCATAGCAATAACAATGAGCTACCAACAACAATAACCTAACGATATGCCCGTTTGATGTGTCCCTTGCAGCCAGTGTACAAGAAAGAGGCGTCGTCACGTGACCAACCTCTGAGGCGGAGCCGGAGCGCGCCGAACCTGACAGAGTGGCCGGTGTTGTGTAAGGCTCCGGTGGCGGTGCCAGCGGCATGCCGGACGTCCGAGGACGAGGACGAGGAGGCGGTGCGAAAGCGGTTCGAGAAGCACCGGATGAAGCGCCGGCGAGCCCTGTCCCAAAACAAGATGCGCTCGCTGCTCCGGCGCACCAAGGCCACGTCCGAGATTGACTTGGCGCACATCGACAAGGAGGCCACGTTCGGCGCCGACATAGCGTCCTACGAGATCCTGTCCCGGGTGGTCGACGCCCTGGAGACGGCCGTGCCCAACCAGCCGGGCGACCACCAGCACCAGCATCAGCACCAGCACCAGCAGCCGCAGACCGTCCATCACCATCTGCATCCGGATGCCGCGTATTCGGTGAGAGCATTGTCCGGGGGGAGGGGAGGTGCGTGGGTTTCAGGGTGATTGCTGTGTCGGTGGGGGAGGGGGGATTTGACCGGATCGAGAATTAAGACGTGACAAAATACATATTTTCTTTTACCTTTCGTAATCGTTACACAATTATATGTATTCTGCTTTGGGCGATATAGGGAAACATCTCTATATAAGAAGGTTACTGATTCTAAAATATATGGTTTTTCCTTGCAACTAGAGTAAGAAAAAAGCGTTGTCATTCTCCGAGGGCGTGCATGGGTTCACGAACGAGGACATACTGGCCGGTGAAAAGAACGAGTGGACAGTCGGCGGTGACATGCTGAACAGGGAAAACACGTTCGGGCCCAAACACAGAAATTCGTATTTCGAGTACGACACATGGGGTGGAGGTGATGACCAAAATTTCAAAAAGTAAGTGATTCATTGTTGTTGTTACCTATGTAATAACTATCTCATAATTACTGTGGTTCGTCTGAATCGAATCTATAGACAAAATATATAATAAGTTTAAAAAAAATATGTAAGTATTATTACTTACCTAATCGGTATATAGGTAATCGGAGAGGTAATGTCAATATTGAATTGGTTAATTTTTCGGTACGTTTTGAACCCAACTCATTATAATTAATTCGTCATGACTCAATAATATCATGCTTCAAACGGAGGCAATAAGCGGGAAATAATTTCTAGCTTGAACTTTTTTGATATCCATATAAATTGGAAATTTGGTGCCAGAGCATATAAAATCATATTATTCACGAGTCACGATACATATTTAAAGAACTTAACTTAAAATATTTATTGTGAATTTGTGAGTTTCGTTGAGTACTTAGTATATAGGTAATGACGAATAAAACGTTATAAAGTCAGATAAGAAACTCCACGGGATACCTATACTACACAATTTATGAAAAAATGACATTATGACAAGTTATGTTATAATAATTAAACAAAATACCAAAGCTTACTGTTAAAAATACGACAAAACATGAAATATTAATCAAAAACGACCACAACAATTGAAAAGTCGAAAAATCAACCACGTTCAATATAATATGCTTATAGGGAAATTAACGAACGTGAAATTATTTTTAATATCAAAGTTACTATATTATGATGATGAAAAATCATTAGGTATTGATCGATAATAACTACGATTTATTTTATTATCGCCCGAAGTAATGCGTGTTAAGGTCGACGACAGTTGGCTTTGCATACATTACGATAAACGAGGATTATTATAGTGAGTTATTTTTCTTTTCTGACAAATACACAGAGAGTTGGTATATATATTAAAGATAGAAAAAAATGTTTAAATCACCTCGCAGTAAAAGGTCGCAACGCAGATCGCTGAATATCATGCGGAAGTTCAATTTTAAAAAAAAAAATTTAAACGATCGGGTTCTTCCGCTCTGCTACTCGTTTGCATAATAATATATTACACGATAACTAATAAATTGGATATAACGACCACGCTGCCATCCGACGTATGACCTTCAAATTCGAACGGTCTTATTCGTTTTCGACGGCCTCTGGCAGTCGAACAGCGTGGAAAAATCTATACAAATCACTTGCCGATTGTGAGCGTATAAATTGTACTATATTGTACTAGGTTTATTTTATATTATAAACTCGTCACTTTTGTGTCTTATGACGACTTCCCGGTTACTCGAAGCATATAATGATGCAATGTCACGTCTTTAAAAATTGAAGACGACTTGACCGATATTTATAACAGGGCAAATGTACTGACGTATTATTAAGAACAATAAAAATAATTGTTCAAATTACTTGAGAAAAATGAAAATATTAACACTTTCAAAAAATCATATCGAGAACGTCAATATATACTCAAGAGGTATATGGAATTTTCGTTTTATGAAATCTATTATTTGGTTACAATAAATCAACTAAAACTACAAATTTTTTCTTATTTTATGACGTATAAATGTATATCTATACTCTTCATAATTTCATAATCTTATATTAGAAAAATATTCCACCCCTATAATGATGTATAAAATATAACACTTTAACGTGTATATAATACAATAATACAAATTATTATAATATTTGGTGAAAAATGTCTATAAAACACGGCCTCACACAAAACTTAATTTATTATTCTCACTGTACTTAAGAAACCGTTTGCTTTTTCAGGTTCAACGAGTACACGAAACATGGTAATGGTGGCCAGAACAAGCCACGGGTACCGAAGCTGCGTCGCATGTCAGCAGCCGCGTTTAACTTTCTGTCCAACAACATCGCACCAAAGTGGTTTGCTGACAAGCTGGCCGACGGAAGCGGTGGTGGCGGTGGTCAGACCTGGAACGACGACCCCAGACACAGGCTGTCGCTGAACGACGACCAAGGTTACGGTTACGGGTCCACGTACAATGGTACGGCGGCGGTCAACCGCACCAGCGCACCGGTACAGTATCAACACCGTGGGTCACACGGCCTGCAAGTGGTGCAAGACCCGCAAGTGTACGGATCGTCAGCCCCCGAAAACCCGCGACACCGGCGGCTGTCCAGCCCGGACCCGGTGCTCGCACACTGCGCCAACACCATCGCCGTGGCTGACTTTCTGATGACGTTGCAGCGGTCACTTGACGGTTCGTCCGTCACGGGACAGCAGCCTCAGCTGTCGTCCGGAACTCACCAAGCGGCTAACCGGTCAGCGGTCACCGGTGGCGGATTCGCATCCGTCATCCGTCACGAACGTCGGTCACCTCTTTTCACGCTGTTCCAGGACAGGCCACGGCGGGAGTCTGGCGAATCGTGGCAGTACTCGTCGCTGACGTCCATCGTGTCGTCCACGTCGTCCACGGTGGCCAACGCGACGACGACGACGCCGGTCACCGACGACAGTACCATAAACGCGGTAACTATTATATTAAAATCTACACATTACGTTATTATATTTACTGAAGTCGGGTTCAGGGCTAAATCGAAAGTCGTGTCCGCGTGCCTTTTATCGTATTCTGATCGGCCGTCGTAATCATGGTATCATGGTTAACAACTAACCGTGATCTACCAGAAAATCTCCAGAGTTGGACAGCTCGCAATGTACAGACACAACACGACAGACGACTCAGCTGTGACCTGAGCTTAACAGACGATTGTGGTTGAAACAGTATTTCTATATTATAATATCGGACTGGCAGGTGCGTCGATATAAAACAGTTGTCCAAATTGATTTTGTTCTGTTTTCCAGAGGACGTTGTTTAGGAATAAACTCACACACAAGTAAACCAAAATTACATCTATTTTAAGTACATTGTAGTAAAACCATTTTTAAGGACTTTTACCTGTGATTATTCCAAATATTTTTTAATACTTGAGAAACTGCTAGTTCAAATGTTGGATTAATTACATTAAAATTTTTAAAATAATTAATGGTCAGTTAAAAAATATATAAATACAATACGAATAAGAATAAAAGTTACAAATACAATATTTTTCTGTTTATTTATTAAACATCACTTTTATACATTCAAATCTTGAAATTTGATTATATAATTGTATTTTGTATATGCTGTTTGCCTGTTCGTTCATATAAGTACCAGTCAACTCAATACATTAGTCTGCATTTTATCTCAGTTTCTGCTTTGAGGCTAGTACACTAATTTTGTCACCGATTACCTTCTGCATATTATGGATCTCATGGAGTATGGTTTATTTTGTCGTAGCTTACATAATACACAAAATATATTATACTTCACATAATATTTATAGTTTATACTTGAGTACTTGACTGTATACTTATAAATTATAAGTAATGCTTCAACAGCATGAGGTTATTTATTTAGTAATCTATGTTTTATAGTAGCTAGATCAACATGAAAAGTAGATTTTATTATATGATTATAATTAATATACATGGTATTACATACATAATATAATATAAGAATAAATACATTAATATTAGTTATATACAATTTTTTGGGACGGATGTATACAATTTTACAGTTTATATTTTATTAAATTGCATTTAGAGATCACATCGACTTTATTTTTAAGGGGCTTCAGCGTATCATGTTATAAGGAGTAATATTTAGGCAATTCACATGACTTAAACATTTGAGTAGTAAGATATGATTATTAGTGTGTGTTTCCGATAATCGCCTTAATACCGCGTCGGACAACCGCCGCCGGATGTCACTCTCACCCGCTCCAGCACATGGCAATAATTAGCAAAAAATGAAATATATTCTTGTTTATATAACTACAAAATTAAACAAACTTCCTAAAGTTTGATTGTAATTTCGAAAAAATGGTTGTATTTATAAGATTCCAGACTATGTTCTTTAGGAATCACGTTTTTGATTTAAAATCAGATGCATGCACAAAATAAATACAAATTCAATGCAATTATTTCATAAGATTAAAATTATTTTAAGATTAAGTTATTTTAAGGTCCTTGAAAATTGAAAATCGACTAAAAAGCCTAGATATTTTGTCAAAGAGTTCATACATGTACAACAAATTAAAATCGGACATTCCTAAGTATGTATAATTTACCACCGCTTATTGGTCTGAAACGCATGAAAAATACATCTGCTGCGATCCCCTTAAATATTGATCTTCATTGAGTGTTTCTTTTTTCGGTATTTGGAGGTAGGTTGAGATTTGAACGTGTCGTTACTCGTTTCATATCTTGGGCGTTCTTTGAGTATATGTTTGATGCTAAAGCGGGGTTCGGTTGGAGTTGTAGCTCGATGGTGGGTGTGATAAGGAATGAACACGTTAGGGAGGTGGTACGCTTCTTGTCCTGGAGATGGAGTTTCTTGTGGTGTCGATACTTGACGTGTTTTGGAAGAGCAGTTTCGTTAGGAACAAATGACGTTTATTTTTAACGTTTGCGTTGTTGTTGATGGTTAGAGTTCTGTAGAAATATTATAATTAATATTGTGATCAACAGGTCCACGAACAGCCCATGGCTGCGACAACCACGAGGAGGTCAAAGAAGAAGCGCACTAGACGGTTCTCGATTAGACCAACAGTGGGAACGGCAGAACCCAACGGCGGCATCCGGTGTTGGACGACGTCCGGAACCAATAACACCACCTGTAGTACCACCGACGAATCCACCCTCAAGGGAAGAGGAGCCTCAACGGGACCGGGTGAGGGATATATAGGAGCCGGCGGAGGAGACGTCCGACTGAACATCGAAGACTGATGGTGGACGAAGTGACACTCACCGCCCGCCCACCCACCCATCCACCAACCCACCCACCGACCCACCGACGATGACACTATAACAATTATTGTTTCGCGGCCGGAAGTACGCATCGATCGCTTTTGCAGATTGATCGTCGTCCGCTGTCGTCGATCAAAGTATAAATATATATATATATATGCACACATAACAATAGCAACGTCTATATATAAACATATATATATATATATATATATTATATTTCATGAGTTATGATTGTTCATAAGGATTATTATACGTTTTTACCGCATTATTAATTATTTAATTATAATTTATTGAAAAATTGTTTTCAATTTACAACGCACGACGTCATGATATTATTCTGTTACCGTTGTGTTATTTATTTTACTTAACTATGTATACAATGTGATATATTATCCAACCAACACACGCGGTGCGTATGATATTATAAAAATAGAATTTAAAAAATTTATAAATAAAACAAAAAAAACATCGTTTTTCTTTACCTATTTCCTTTTTTTTTATTATCATTATCGTATTCACTGACGGAAACCGTTTTGGGTGTACATAGTACAGTGGCGGCTAATTGTAATGTATTAATGTATTATAATATAATAAATCGTCCCAAACCATTGACAGCTGATGATTCGGATCGGAGGCAATCGTCTACAACCTGCTGTCGGTAGTGTATAGGTGCATGCCCAAACATTTCCTCCATGTCTCGATACAACGATAATGCTTCAAATTTGATTCAAATGACTAGCAATACTCAAACTATATTACACTACACTCGTTGTGATCGAGTAAGCTACGTTTTAATCATAGTTTTAGGAAATGTTAATGACTTCACGTTCATGTTTACGCTCAGCCGCAGTCGTTATTGTCAAGTGTCCACCCAAAACTTGGCTGGTAAGTGGTTACATAAAATCTATATGTTATTATGTTCATATTATTATTTGTTGTTATGTAAAAACCATACATGAAGTTCCTACATGAAAAAAATTCACCCATAGCTGCTACAAAGTTAAGCAGGTAAACTAATTTTAACTCGTCAAAGCGTGTTAATATAGCCAATAAAAGAGTTGAAGTGACGGTCACTATATTATATATTTTTAACTTTCAAAAGTTACAAGTAAAATAGAAAAAAATTGGGTAACCATTCTGATGTACCTACAGTAGGATTTAAGTGTTCCTATGGCACTGCAATGGATGTGTTAAATTTAAAATCAATGGATAAACCATTAAATATAGTAAACAATTCTGTGCCGAGATAGTTTGTCAGTCCATTATAAAATAAATACTTTGCTATTGATATTATTATAGTTATTAATACGGCATAGGTAAACTGTAAACAGCATACAATTATTAATCTAGTAATGTTCTGAGAATGTCATTGTGTATAAAATATATGATAAGAAATGTACAAGTTTCAAGTTCATTTTTGAATATGCAACAAAATATTTAAAATTGTTATTTTTTGTTTAAAAAAGTAACACGTTATGTAACTTGGTTAAAAATAGCCCAAGTTTTAATTTTTAATCTGTTATTGCCCAGCCTTGAACGTAAGGCTTATGGTCTTACACGGATCATAAAATTGAATACTTTACCTTTCTGTATTGCACTACAAGTGTAAAACACAATAAAACGTTCTTAACTTTGAGTTTTCACAAGATAAATCTAATATTATATTATTATCGAACGATTTGCTATTGAAAATCAGCTGCCGTCCGTTATTATTCTTCATACACTAGTACAGTGAATAGTTATGAACTTATGTGCGATGGCTTTATCCATTGTTATTGTATAGTAAATAGAATAGTATATTGTATTTTTGTATAATATACTGTTGTTCAAAATACCACGTGTTGTACGGCGTGACGTATAGGCAATATAGGTACGTAGATGCGTAGATGAATGTTTTTAACAAAAAAATATTACGTTCGGTTAACGCACATATTATTATTGTTTCTGCATAAATAGTAATAAAAATATAATAAAATAATACGGGACCTACCTACACTTGTATTTATTTATAAAATGTATATTTTTTTTTATCTTAACGAGGACGAAAGATTTTCAGTGGATTCAGCGGATTTTAAACGTCAATAATAATATTATAAATTGAAATAAAAAATTGAAACATTATTCCATAACGAATCTGTCGACAATTAGATTTTTTTTTGGACTTATATGTATTAGTGTTTTCTGAACGTGAATAATTCAACTATACAATTATTAATTAAAGATCATAGACAGCATGCTAGATGTGGCTGTATCGTAGTCCAATCGTAGTTCGTTTATGCCACTCAAGGATGACTAACACCTGTTTGTATCAATTTGTCAGAAACAATATTGAGATTGATAAGGTCATATTTTGGCCGTTGAATCACTAAAACATTAATAATTAAGGAAAAACACATCATAACTATATACTTACACAATATCTATCAGGTGAACGAAATGATAATAAAATGCAATCGTTTGAAGTATAAAATCATAACCAAAAATAATATCGTCAGACTTGTCTTACCAAATCATAATTATCTTAGTTGTGCACTTGAAACATTTCAAAGGTTTGTCATCACTGATATACACTTACATATCATTATTATAATAGTTTATATCGCCTAAACGTATGTTGATGTAAATAGGAGGCGTCCAGGTGATATCGTTTCGATTTTCTCTTTTATCATAAAACTAGTAAAACAGTTTTAGAAAAAAATGTTGAACTACTTGGTAACTACTGGTCACACGTATCATTACAACGTAATAATTATATTATGGCAAGTTCTGATACGCCGTCTGATATGTAGTCCATAGACTAGGCAACTGAGAGCACTACTGAGAGAAATTAAAACAAAAAATAGAACAACGGGTAGAAAAATAGGCGATAACGATTTATTATGTACACATGTGCGAAGTGAAATAAAAAATAAAATAATATAACAAGGGTTTCTTTTACAAGTCTTATTTAAATATTCTGTACACACAAAAAAAATGTTATAATAATAAATAAAAATATAAGGAGAAAAAATTATAATAATATATAATTAAATCAAAAATTTCACACATACACATACGCACACACACACACACACACACACACACACACACACTGTAACGGGAGAAAGAAATGAGGACTTCTCGTTTTCGTGAGGAAATAAAAATAAAGTATAGGTACTATTATTGTTATTATTATTGTCGTTGTAACGTGGATAGGTATTTAAAAAAATTATTATTTGCTTAATACATGGACAAGAGGGGTTGTGGAAAGGAGGTGGAGGGGCTGATTTAATACAAAGTTTTTGAAAAAAAAAAAATAATAATAATAAAAATAGTAATTTAGTGATAGCGATAAAATAAAACAACGAAATAAAAACCACACGACACTGCAGTGGATAATTGATTGATGTATTAGGTACAAAATTATTATGTTATCGCACGCACAGTATAGTAATTATTATATCATAATAATATATACACACGTCATATACGTTTGGAATTAAAAATGTACGTTTAAAATATTAATATATATATCATTTGAGAAATCCACGTAGTAGTCCATTATCGTACAAGTATTTAAAAATAATAACTATTATTTTATATTATTGGATTTCCACACAAACACACATTACCATAATATTATTATAATATACTATGCTTATAATATACTATGTGTATAATATAGTACATATTATAATAGGCATATTACACAACACACCGCGATGATGTATAATTATATAATATTTATTTTTTAACATCTATAATAGATCATTGTTTTAATACTGATGGCAAATCCTCTGGTGGGCCATAAACGGTTCGGGGGTTGGGTGGGGGTAAAATAAATTATGATTGCAATCGTAACGAACCCTACAGTAGGTAGGTACGGAAAACGTCGTCATTTTGTTTGTCGTCGAAAATCGAAAGTGTATTTAAAAAAAGATTTTTTTGGAATATTTGCGCCAGACATATTATTATTATCACACATTGTCAACGGGGTGGGTCACGTGATTCGCAAGACCACTGAGTGGGTGGCTGGAATCGAATGACACCGGCGAGTGGGTCGCCGAGCGAGTCAGGGTACCGGCGGGGATCGATGGCTTTCAGGTGACTTCGGACGGGGCCGTGACTTCGATGAGCGTGACGGGAAACGCGGTGGCGGCGTTCATATCGGTGAATATGTCCAGCAGGTTGTTGATACCGATCAGGTAACCGTCCTCGTGGTTGCCCACCACCCACTCGGACGTGTGGTTGATCCGGATGTCCGGCGGAAGTATGAGCGTCTTTGCGAAGTCGATAAGCCATATGTTGGCGTTCTTGCTGTCGTGCACGAACAGCAGCGAGCTGCCGATCACCTGCGTACACAAACGCCGTTATAATTATATTAGTAATAATAATAATAGTATGTTATCAAACGAAATAAAATGACAGCGTAAGGGTGAAGTCCATGGTATGCTGTCATTTTAATTACTTTAATTTATAAAAACCCTACATTACAGAAGCGATACGATTAACTGCCGCCCGATGCAATAATATATTCACACGATATTAACTTAAAGCTGGCTGTATATTAACTATATATTACCAACACACATCATGTAAGAACTGCAGTTAGTTCAATGTACACATTAAAGACACCAAATCCTTTCATACTACCGAAATCTGTACTACTATATTGTAAAACTTAATTTACCTACTTTTATTTGAATATATTATATTTAAGAACGTTAGATAATATTTTCTATCTGTTCCTGACCAACAAAATCCCACGACTGTCTCTGGATATCTAATTAGTAATTAATAATTACTAATTAGATAAAATTAGGGATTTTAATTATATTTAGTTTTTCATCCCCAATGACGATACACTATCGTTTTATTTTTTTACCATCAATTAGTTTAAAATATAAAATCCACGTATATCATCCAATCATAATAATATAGTGTATTAGTACAGAACGTTAGAGAATGTTTTCGAGTGTTATTACTGTGTGATGTGAAATAAAATGTTTCGATCAAAAGCATTTTATTGTTAAATAATAATAATAATAATAATGTGAAACGCAATGAAAACAGCAATACATAATGCATTTTAACGAAACGTTTTATTTTATGTCACACGGCATACGTACTCAAAAACACCCTACCCCCTCTCCGACCATTGAGCTGAATGTGTTACCACTTATCGGGTGAAATACTCGATTTTTTATACTTCAAACGAATTTACGGTAAAGTGAAAAACGTTAATATCATAATGTAAACAACATTCGAAGCGAACGAGGTCAAACATGGTACAATAATTACGTTTAGTCAGATTCAACAACGATAATGAAAATCAAAAAGACAATAGTCAATAACCATAACGGAACCAATAACATTTTAGTAAAAATAATTATATCTATATGAATTTTTATCCCTGTTTGTAAGTTCAAAAGTAATTGGTCAATAGTTCATATTTTGAGGCGAGTTACCCTGGAACCCAATATCAGAATATACAATCTTTTCTTACAATTAACTGCACTAAAAAAAATTTAAAGAATTATTTATCACCTGCAGTTAGTGAATAATTCGTACCTAAATATTTTTCAGATATAAACAAAGTAATGTGGGAAAAAAGTAAATTTTTAAGAACAGTGGTGCTGTGGCACCCCAACAGACAAATTACATTTTTTCTGGGAAATATTTAGGTGTAAATTCTGAAGTCTGTATAAAAAAAGGTATAAATAAGAAATATGTTCAATATTAATGAAGAAAAAATTGAGTTTCGAGATAGTACCCAATTCACACTTTGTCGTTCAAAAAATATTAAAACAACTTTTTACCCATACATTGGCATAGTATATTTTTTTTATAGATTTGAGTTATAACAAGTTATTTTTACCTAAAATCAAAAAATTATGTCTTAAGTAGGTAGAGTGACTTACGACATAATAATACATTTTATAATTTAAATTAATTTGGATTAAATGTTTTTTGAGAAAAATTTGGCAAAAACATGATTTCGCGTGGCCCCTTAACTACTTAAAGTATGCAAGCAATATGACACCTCGATATCATTAGTTGGACGAGGCGATTTTTCATGTTTTTTTTTTTTTTAACGTCAAACGTGTTTTATCGTTTTTTCTAGTTACGTCTTGTCGGATGGTTGTCATTTTTGTAAACAGTATCGACCAGTGGCGTATTTACGGGGGGGGTCCCCGGGTCTGGACCCCCCCCAGAAAAAATATAATATAATATAATTATTACATCGTAACTCGTATGTGTTTTTTTTATATTATAAACTCGTAGGTACCTAATATTTAGACCCCCCCCAGAAAAAATTTCAAAATACGCCACTGGTATCGACAAATTGTTTTTCGAGACAACTATACAATAAAAATATGATTTACCTAACTGTTATGCTATTTAAAAAATTAAAAATACTCCGTATAGTTTGCAGATCGATGGCACGAAACGTCACGTCGTTTACCATAAGTAGGTAGGTTTAGGTTCGATTCATTAAGAAAAAATGAGCTTTACAGAATTGTTGAAACTATATTATCATGTCGATTGTCGTCGTTTAAGGTGTTTGTGGTAGGTACTGACTTACTGAGTAAATAAATTTAGATTACAATTTGTTTTGGCATATTAATTTTAAAAAAAAACTGACAAAGCGGTCGTACGAAAACGCATATTTTATAAATATTATTAATTCTTGTGTTGTTATTGTTATTGAGATAGTATATCGGTGGTAGGCATTATTATAATACTTTCACCGTCGAAAAATTATTATAATATTCACTTCACAGTCATTTAAACGTACGAGTTGTGCACATACCAACTGTATACCTATATTGCGTATACCGATTTACTACATAAAAATTATTACAGTTTTGTATTTAGGAATTTCTCATGGGTTCCTCCGTTCAGATAATTTTCTTAACACAGCGATGAGGGAGAATTCACTCCCCCCTCCACCCAACCATTGGTTTAACTATAGTGACATGTAAATTGTTTGGTTAAGAACGAATTTTCTGCAACAAGATTTCTAAAAATTGTCAATTATTAATGTAACAATGATAATACTAACAAACAATTAAGACCTTAAAGTTACACAAAAAATTGGTCATCACGCACTATTGTTATACGGAACTCAAATTGATAACAACAATAAAAAATAGTCACGGTGTTTGAAATTTGAATACTGATAAGCCGATTAACGAAAATTATAAAACTATCGAAAAACGTTTACTACACATTCATAGTACAATTAAAATTTATTAACACTATTGGGGCGTTATCGGTAAAATTCAGCCGGATGCAATGTTTACTTCTATCACGGCGGCACTCCCAAGACAATAGAATTTAAACCTCACCTTTTCGATTTCTTTATTATCTATAGTGCAAGCAACTATCATGTTTGTTAATTATTAACTGTGGCAACCATGCGTACAGCACAATATTACGAACGTGTGTAAAGTTTGGTCCCCCAAACTTTCCAAATTACACCAAAAGTGTTCCGATTTGAAAAGTTATTTTCAGCATTTGTAAGTTCTTCAGAGCTATGTTGTGGGAGCTAGTTTTAGTGTGACGTTAGCTCCTCCATTGAGTTTATTTTGGTCACAATTTAGATCTAAGGAGCTAACAAATTGGAACCCCGTGCAACCTCACCTTGACGAATTTTCGTAATTATACCAACTTATTAGGAACAACCTGCATTGTAACTAATAATTTTTTTTGTTTTTGAATAATTTATTTGATTTTTGACGTCCAAGATAGTAGGTATTTAAATTCATGAATACAAATACTTTTACTCAAATACTTTACTAGACTGGCGACGGTATCGGAGTGGACTGTCATCTGCAGACGGCGTTAATGAATATCATAGGTTATATATGTGGTTACCTATGTGACGGAGTGACAATGTATACTCGTATATTGTATTACTTAAAGGCCTGGGTAATTATTGTCCATCTCTTAGAGTGAACATTACATGAACGCGTGAGTGTACAGTATAAAACCACGAATTAAAAGAACCCGTTTTACACGAAATTTGATGACGACAATCCATTCTGGCAACGGTACACGAACAAGCAACTGACACACTAAGAGTTTGAAAAAACTATACAACAAACCTACAAGTCCACTTTGAGCTAGGAACCAGATTAAAGACAAGTTTTCGAAAAGTTCATACATATTCCCCACGACGATTAACTACGTTTTTAAGATTTTTATGAAGAATTCAGAGGATAATATTACCTATGTTGTAAAATACAATATCTAAAATCGATTTTTGGGTCTCTAAATAAATAGTTTAGTATTTCTCTATACTATAATAGTATCCCTGTTGTAAAAAAATACTTTTTCTAATAGTCTACTTAAGTATTTTTACTTAAGTAATTGTATCATATAAAATAAAGTTTACTACATTTAAAAAAAAATGTTCGTTCAAAACTACTAACAGTTATATTAGCAGCGGCATATCTAAAATCAATATTTGTATTTGATCGTTTATTTTTAAAACGATTAGAAATATTTTAAATTAAAATAAGGATAACAAGCAGGTATTTGAAGAAAAGTGTTCAATACAGTCGAATAGTACTTAAAATGTATTCAAACACTTGTTGAATAAACACTTATTTAATAATAGAAATTATAATTTGAATAGGTACCAATACTCAAATATTTCTACTCAAATATTATAACACAACACCGAATAAATGTGTGTGCGGATTTCGTGACAAACCTCGTGCGTAGTGAAAAACTTGGAGTTCACCAGTATGTCTCTGATCGCTCTCAGTCGGTTTATGTACTTGGGCTGAAAAACACGATGTGCGCGAAAAGCGCGGCCATTAAAGAAAACATTGCATTGCGTGTGCAGCATAATATAATATGGATAGTATATATTAATATAGGTTCGACTCACGATTACGTGCGGGAAACCGGCGACGAAATCTCGAAACGCTTCGATCACCTGGTCCCGGTTCTTTGTCGTCTTGAAGTCCTTGCTCGATTTTCCATCGCTTTTCTTGATCCCCTCGATCCGGAAGCCCAACGTGGCCGTCGACGAAATCGTCTCCCTCCAAACCATGTACCTGCGGACGGAAACGGAACGGATGATAACAATTATTTATTGTGATACGCAATCGTATCGACGCAGCACCGTTACACAATTCACATAAAGGTAGTATAATTGTTGTGGTCGTCGCTATGCTAAACACCGTAATATAGGTAGATCATAACGGCATTCTGAGCTCAGTTTTTTTATTTGAGCACGGATAGCCTTTTTGCCTTATGGGATCGTTACCATATAGGTTATATTTCTGCTTGTTTGTACCGTCGTATGTTCGAACGTGATTTTTTAATGATTCGTGCAGGACGAGGCTGTTTTGTGAAGGAAATAATAATAATAATAATAAGTCAATTATTTTCTTCACTCGTTTCAAGAGTTGGATAGAGTAGATATATTAGGCTGTGGAAATAATTTAACCTCATAAAACAACAGCCTGATATAGCGCACTCATATGGCATACGATTTTATCTAAAAAAAAGCTCAAACATCTGACCAAATTAACCAAATAATGATTTTTAGAATTATTAAGTTTCTTATTATTTAGATTTAATACTATTTTAGGAGTGTCTTGTACTACTGTCTGAGATGGTACAAATTTATTTTATTGCATGTGAGAAGCAATGTTTACAGTATTAAAATACAAAAGATTTTTTTGAAAATGTTGATGTATCTAAAATCGAAATTCAACGAGTGTTTCGGTATTTAAAATGTACCTACCTATATATATTAAGAATTAGAAAATCTCCTTAGAAATAGTCCCTGAAAATGATTTTAAAAAACTATAAGACAGATATTATAATATTCAACCTTTAACATTTATAATACAGTTTTGAAAAATAAGAAAATGTTTAAACTTTAAAGATATAATATTTATTACAATATTCAAATTATCATTGCCCACGTATATTCCAAACCTTTACGGGGAACTATAATATTATTCTGAGTACACAAAATGAAAAACTACTCCTTCGAATTTGGATGTATAGATACATCAACGTTGATAAGGAAAAAAGGCGATTCTCTTTTGGAAAAAATATGTTGTTATTGTCACAGGACACTTCTTAACCGGTATTAGAAATCTGAACGTATTTGAAATTATTTGATCCTTATACAGGTGGGTCTACTTGAAAATTCCTAAAATCAGCATTTGAACAAATCAATAAATTATTTAAGAAAAAAAATGGTGATGAGCATGCATGGTGGTGAACCGCCATGAGACACCCATTACCTATATATAGGTATACCGCTCGCGGTTATCGCATCAGTTATTATGTACCTATCCTACCCTGCCCATGTATCGGAGCATATAGAGATGTTCGGAGTTTTCATCGTTGTACATATTAATATTATAGGTACCTACGTAATAAAATATATGATATATTATCATAATTATACAGGATACAGGTGTATGAATATTTTATTTACTTTTAGAGGCGTACTACACCTGTATGGTTAGGCACCCACGTACACGGGCTTGCGTCTTCGCGGCGCCGAGAGACGAGCCACATAAAAGCGGTAGGAAGACGTCCGGAAACGGAATATTCGTATCCGGAATTTCGGGCGATAATGTGCCTGCTATATATTATAATATACAATACAACTACCGTCCACGAGGTCGATTTCATGCAATAATAACGCGTTAGATGGGCATAATCGTGACCTATAAGACTTTGAGCGGACGACCCAATTATTTAAGTAGGTACACGATAACTCGACGGCAATAGTCTAATGTCTATAACGTAATATTATTCAAGTAGACAAATAAAATACAACATGTACAACGATGTTCGCATTGTTGTTGTTTATCGTATAATAATAAACAGCGCCACAGTGAAATTATATATTCTTACACATGCGCGTATAATGTGTATACGTCGCACTATAATAAATATTAATATTATGTATATTGTGGAATATATGGTATATCGTACCGTGCTGCACTTAATATAATATAATATTATGTAGTGAAATATTATATTATTATTACTATCGGTTTTTTTAATTATTAATGATGGCTTTTGTAACAAAAACAAATTATTGAGATAACTAAACGAAAAATGAAAAATGTATAATATCTACCATTAAACAGAATATTATTATATCAATAACAATAGTTTATTAGTAATAAACAATAAACGTCAAATATTATGTAAAATAAACAAATAGCTACATTAAACATAACTTTGTGCTTTATTTGACCTATGACAAAATTACATTTATCATTATTCCAATTCAATTTTATTCATTGTTTTTAACCTCATAACAATGAACTATCAAAGTTGACTATCTAAACAATATTTTCCAAATCATTGTATTATATTATTTTGTTATATAAAATGTATTATAAAATACATTAAACACGTATTAATTATTAATATACATATTTCTGTAATTATTCAACTAATCTTCATGTTTATGTTCAATGTAATAATCGGTGTTTACAATTTTGGTTTTGGTTTTTGTTTTTAACGTGTTGAACATAAAACTAAGACTAGAAAATAACGTTTAAAAATATAATACGTAAAGTTAAACGACGACAAATCAAATTAACAATAACGATAAACTTTAATATATGTAAGGTAAGGCTGCACATCGTTTTTGTATCCAAACGGCCAAATGGAACGTAAGTAAAAACGAAATGTATTATTTTTAAATTTAAGCGCCGATTATTATACATGATAATATTATACATATCATAAAAAAAGTACCTATACCACGCGATCGAATATACGTCATTTTTTATTTTCTCGATATTTTGTCCGCTCGCCGCCGCGCCTCAGCAACGCACGCATCGTCCGTATGGAAGAGGTATTTACGCGCCTAATTAATTATTACACACTATACCTATATTATAATAATATTATACACTACGGCTATACAACAACACGTATCCGTACAAATAAGGCGAGATAAAAGATCGATAGTAATAATAATAATACGTTACGCGTGTATAATATATGAGGTATACATCTAACGTAATTTCATATTAATGTACGTTTACGGTGCGACGTCTTTATAATATCACGTGATGAATACGCGCTCGTACTCGAACCGTATATTATACAGAGTGATTCGCACCAAACAGCAATCACCCCCATGTTTTTTCATTAGAAAATAACAATTTTATAGTTAAAATTCTGATTTTTAGAATTTTTAAGTATATATACTTACTACTGACTTAATTTTCGAATACTAGTGTACTTAGATTTCTTACTCAATAGAGGGAAATATTTTTTTTCTAGCAAATCTTGTTAAGTGGAAAAGTTTTCGAAAATGTTGATATTCAAATCGATATATATATATATTTGAAAGATTAGTTATTTAACTTTGTACACTAAGCTGGAATAATAAGTCCATGATAATATGTGGAAGATATGGAGGTTCCATAATGATTTTAAAATTATAGTAGATGTTAATATTAATCTATTGAGATTTTACACTCTGTATAATATTTCCTAAGTATACTACGTAGGTTTGGTACCAGTTTAAATATAACATATATATTTTATACTTTTGTAAAAACATTTTTAAGGACTATTATCCTTACAGGTACTCGATACTTCTTAATAACCCCAAAATGCCTGCAAAACCAATATCATCGTAATAAAAAAAAAAAATCAACAGCTTCATAATTTTAAGTAAAAGTGGTTGATTTTCATTTGAAAAAAAATGTTTATATCTCAAAAGACTAAGTATAAGAAAACATAGTTCTTGATTATACTTAAAAATTCCAAAATTCAGAATTTGATTGAATTCATTATTATATGAAAGGAAACAATTATGGTGAGCATGCTTGATGAGTCACCCTGTATACACCCTTTAGGCTATTCGATTTTAAACAGTCGTCTATGGAGAAAAAAATATACGTAACATAATTATTTTATTATATTATTACGATAAAATAAATTATTCGAGTATAACGATTTATTTTATATTATTGTGTCTTGCATTCGAGACGACGCCGCACCTGACTTGTAGTCTGTTATCTTTGTCGCTCTTGATCACACGCAAATCAGTATAATACATATAATATTATTATGATTTATAACGTCACTTGGAAAACAAGATGACGTGCATCGATGATTAATCAAAATGATTTTATAATTATTAGCATTGGTGCTCTTCTATTTTCGTTTTTTTTCGACGTCTAAATAGAATAATTTCACCCCAACAATAATACCTCACCATTATTTTTCTTTCTTTCGTAAAAAATTATGTAACGGGAAATTGTGAGAAATCGTGCCCAGGTGTTGGATTCAAATATGTTTTGACCTTTTTTGTTTTGGAAAATCCAACTTTGAATTATTTATGCATACCTTTTTATTATGCGCATTATTATTTTTTTTTAACAATTGAAATTCAATATTTTTTTGCGAGTAACAATGCATATGACGTAGATACGACTGGCAATCGCAATTATTATTAATAAAATCGTTTACACAGTGGTAAGTCAGATATAAATAGAAACAGTCTTTTGGCGGAAACGGAAATCTTTGGAAGAAAGATAATAATAATTGGTAAAACAGAAATCATTTTCATTTTCTTTTTGCGGAAAAGATATAAGTCCCTCTCGTTAAACATACTATTACAAAACCCACATCGGTACTTTTTGGCTTTTAATAAAATATATCGTTTTGTCTCATACTTAATTATAAAATTAAATATAATAACAATAAATAAAATATTCGACGACCGTCGATACAAGTTTAATGGTAATAGTGTTTTTTGATTTCCTATATTTAAAACGTGTGAAGCATTTAAATCTAATGTAAAACATTCAAGAGGACTTTAAATTGAATTCATTTCATTGATCGATTTTGCAAGTTGTGATATTTTAATGGTTGTGGTCGATTTTTCCAAGGCAGATGACTACCGGATACCGGTACATAGCAGGTCAAACACGACTACACGAGGTTATGATGTCCGTAATTCGGTAACCACGTAATACCACCAATAAACTTAAAATATTATTAACGATTTTTTTAAGTCGAAAAAACCTGTCTGCAACACAGCACCGACGCGACGAGAAGAATTTACTCATTTTTGTGTTCGGTATTTTTCTTATGACATATCGAATTCAAAAGATAATTTGCTCTGGATTATCAAGCGAATGTGATTGAATAGGAACAAACTTACAAACGAAGACGAAGTACATAATAATATTATAATAATCATATTATTATTACAAGCAGACTTCCTCTTTGGCCGTCACAGCATATATTTCATTTCGGTGCGATTATAACGTAGGTAGTAAAAAATTCGATTAAACGGCAGCGTCGGGTTAATATATATACTTACCTAATATTATGTATTATTATTATTATTAATCGAATATTTTTATTCGTCGATTATGATATACACACGTCACACGTAACGTACAGTTGTTTCTCATACCACGTGATGGTTACGTAATACGCGTTAGAAATTGGTAAAATATTGCTAACTGGACGATGTTCTATAAGGCTATAGCTATAGATGATAATAAAACTAACATACGCTAATTGATGATCATTTAACTTGGAAATACTCATTTTTAATTTGGATTTTTGTGGTTGTTCTTTTAAAAAAGTTTTCATAAATAAGTACAGTTTGAAGTATTATTACAATGCTAAATTTTTACAAGATAATCCAATTTCATTTTTATTTTTTATCATAATCGTTTCTAGGATTTTGACACATTACACTTTTATAAAATATATTCTCTTCTAGGCTGTAGAATTAAAAATTTAGGTCGTCCTTAAGCAAAATACATATTAAACCTCAAAAAATAATTAAAAATTAAATGTTTTTGTTAAAGTGCAGAATGGCGTTATATATGATATAGTTTTTGTCAAATGTACACAATATCAAATACGTGGGGAAATAGAACAGATGTAATTAACTGCAGGAGAATATAAATATATAATATATTATGATTCCATCACCAATTATGGGGTAGGCACACACATGACCAAGACTCTGCTCAGCGATCTTTCGCAGACTATATTGATTTATAATATTACATGACGTGTAGTTTTGGAAAAAATGCAAAAAAACACGAAGGTTATTAAGACATATATTATGTGTTTAATTTTATTACGGCAATAATTCAATATAATAATAATATATAGGAGTATATTATATGTATTACAATATATACCGTATAGAAGAGCGAGGTGCGCGCGTAATTATTATATACGCGCGAGCGAGCAATTGAAACGAATATTATTATTATTATACATCGTATCATTATAATTGTGTACGACACGTTTTTCTCGATCAAAGAAAGGCGTTAGAAATCATTCTTCTCGGCGACGGCGCAACCGGCCTCGTATAATATTATATATTATTATATTATACGCAAACTCGTTCGGCTACTATAAATTACGATATAATTATGACCACATATTATTATGAGACTCGCAAACTTCTACAGTTTGTGTGTGTGTGTTTGAGATAGGTACATATTTTGAGCACACACGCGAAACATATATATATTACAATAAATCTGGTCTACCGTAACGATAAAGTTCACTATACTCTATATATATAAGAAGTATATAGGTAGGTATTAATTATTATTATTTTATTTATGACACGCAAAAACGATTAGTAAAAAAAAATTGTATAGTTTTCAATACTTTTTCTTACCTCGGTTTTGTCACACCCTTCAGTCGGTGTTCCTCCTCCGATGGTGCGTTGGGGTCTATCTGAATCATTTTTTCGTACATGTCCTAAACATGGTAAACAAATAAATTTTCAATAATAATAATATATTATGTTAACGAGTATACGCGATAAATAAAGTATATTTACTAGTACACTGAATAATTATTTTATCAAAGAACACTCGTTATTTCAAAAATCAAATATTATACCTACTAAACATAATATTTTAAGTCGTTAAAATTTTTTTATCATTCTCGTTTTTCAAGTTTTTACTTTTTTTTTAATGACAACATACATTTTAATTCCTTATTCCAAATCAGAATCGAGTATTTTGCTGTTCATACAAATTGATTTTCGGACGAGTATTATATGAATACCTTTTATAAGTATTTATAATGAGTAATGACTACGATATTCGGAAATATGATTTTTATACATCGAAATAATCTGAATAATATTTTGCTTTGGGATATAAGATTAAAAATGTATGTTGCCATTTAAAAAAGTAAAGGGTTTGAAAAATTTGATAACAGTAAAAATAATAAAAATACGATCAGTTTTCATTGAAATAATGAGGTGCTTGACTCTGGTACCCTCAAGTTGAAATTCTACTCAAAAAACACATCAGTAAATTGTTATACAGTTCGTACACATTTGTAACCACAATTCCAAAATATGTACACCCCCCTCGCCATCGCTCAAATCCAAAATTGATTTGCGGGTGCCAACATCACATGAGTGTTCTTCGAAAAAAGAATCACCAGCTGGTATATATAATGATATCACGGGGAGTCGCTTGTACTCACTTTTCTCAACTTGGGTTTCTCTTTGGCTTTCGCCAGTTCCTCTTCCAGATACGTCCTGACGCCGATCTTGCAGTCCATGACGCACGGCGAAGTGAAGTCACCCAACAAGTCTTCTAGCTGAAGATATACTGTGGCGTGGGAGTCACGGAAAAAATACATCACTCATATATCATATAATATCATCATCGTATCGTTATATTTATATTATGACACATCGAGACTCGTAAATCACGAGTATTATCGTAGTAGTTATACATCATTATAGGCAGCGGTAATTGTTGCACATATTTCACCAGCCCCTCCCAGTTCATATATTAAATAGACCAGATTATATTTTATTTACATGTAGTTTATACGACGATTTACGACAGTCGATCGTCCATCGTTATATTATGGGCCGCCTAATGACGTACGTGAAGTTATTCTCCGAGTCGGTGTCATTTTTTTTGAGACGTCGATAAAAAAAAAAAAAAAATTGCGACACATTTTATACGGCACCACAGTCTATGATTGGGGTGACAACTTCATATGCCTACGTCATCTAAAATGTTCACATATTGCAATATATAAGGTCATTATTTCTATAATATTATTATACATACACAATAGGCATATACGCACACGGAACACCCACACTCGTGAAGTGTATTCCGATACTCTATGAAATTCTCTGGATTTCGTCGTCGTCGTTGTCACCGCTGTGTGTCATGTCAAACGAGTGTTCTCCGACCACACAACAACGCGTCATATCTAATTACAAATCTGCATTTACATTATTATTGTATATCACTGTCGGGGACCTCTGTTACAAGCCAGGTGGTGCAGTGAATAAATAATTTTTATGTTTTTTGGCGCACTCCTATGTACATCTCGTGTTACTATATGTGTTATCTACAGTTAATATTTTAAGTATTTGAACACGATGTTGAATGACCTATAGCATTGATCTTATAACATAGTTTACAATCAGGGTAATGGGTTTGGAAGATATGATGTCTAATAAGGGTAACTTGATAATTGCTGTAATTAATATTAATCTATGATCTATCAATATTTATAGTTTATAAAAATGGACCAAAATATAACAAATACTAGATCCGATTTTATGTCTATTTATATTTGTAATACATTTTTTTATTAGAACATGAATAATAAAATAAAAAAGGTATTATAGCTATTATACAATTTGATATGATTTATTCCATTTAATGCATATATTATCTAGGTACTCAATATTTATTAAGTGAACCAAGTACGTCGTTTTACATATTTAAAATTAAACTTTTATTATTTTTTAAGCCTGGTGGCTATAAGTATTAAGTATGTATACATAAATGTTTAATAATTCTAAACCATACATAAAATTGAAATAATATCAACGTATTTGCTATACTTTAAACTTCAAAATATATTATGTTTACAGTTATTATAGGTGTTTTGTAATTGGTTTGAATTTCAAAAGTTAAGTTTTCAATTGCGTATGCATGAAGCACGAAAATAATGAAAAATCGATTATAAAATAAGTTATATGTTGTCAAATATAGTATGTATATAATATCCATACATTGCTGTAGGTAAAACTAGAACTATTTACAAAGTAGTTTTTAGTTGATTACAATATATTAATATAGCTATAATATTATTATAAACATTATAGTATTATTATACACATTATTTAATCGAAATCGCGTAAACCACCACCGAAAAATTATATTCATACAGCGGCCATAGTGGCTATACAATGACCACAGCAGCTATTCCACACAGCAGAAACGAGAATTTCAAAATCATAAAGATATGTACCTTTTTTTTTTTTTTATTTTTTTTTTTATTAAAAGAATAATTACAATCTATACAAACATATGTACAATAGGTAATTTTTTTGATTGACAATAACATTGAATTACCGAGAGGGAAGATACTCAGTAGTACCACCCGACAGATCAAAAGATATGTACCTAAATGTTTTGTTTAGAAAAAATAATCGAAATTCACAAATAACCGAAATTGTCATCATCTCGTTTATGAATAACTCTGATTTGCCCACACTATTTGTGAGTGAGATAATAGTGACTACTTCTGAGATCGATACACGGATGACGAATAAAATATATAACGACCATATTTTGATCGTCGCTCCATTTGTCGATATCTACTGTATGTAACCCTATAATATGCGAATCGTTAGGTCACAGCTAAGTGATCGAGATCTGTTTTCGTAGGTGTTTAGAACGGAACCACGCGATGGACAGAAAACGAGGATATAACTAAATACTTACCTATACTTGCAATTTATTCGGTTTAATTGATATTTCGCGAGCTTCGGACTTAGACCTAGGAATAAGAAACACCTCGAAGTGTTTAATACGACAATATCGTCGTCTGTCGAGGTTTGAGTAGAACAATTAATGCGATCCGAACTCGATTTAAACGTTTCATAAAATTATTATAGGCGATTAAAAGCAAAATATGCAGGTAAGCGATGACGCTCGGACGCTACCACAGTCCAGTGGTGTATTGGAGGGTATACGCGGGTATACGTCGTATACCCGGATCCCTATTTTTGGATTTATGCGTATACCTTTAAGAAAATTAGTCTTTTATGGGTATACGCACGCTTCTAATTTATCATCAGACAATTTAGGCATATTATCACCAAACAAAAGTAAAAACTTAAAAATAATAATAATAATAACCTAAATTATATTTAGTTATAATATTTTATTATAACATAAAGTGCACTGTCCAAAAATACTAAAAATAGCCCCGTACCCGCATGAAGTTCGATTAAATTTTACCCGACGTTTTCTTGCGAAGACGATCGGAAACTGCCGAGCAATACAATCAATCAATGAACAATCAATGTACAGCGGTTCCCAAACTGTGAATAAACATACGTAATTTCATTTCAAACTAAATGATAATGACAAATTAGAATAATAATAAAATAATTATTGTTGATGTATTGTGTTATTACTTGTCATCCAATAACCAAATTATAAAATCGAACTATTAGTTTCCCATTATATTAATTCTATTAATTTTGAAATTCTTTTAAATTTGTAAAATATTTTATACAAATAAAATATATATAAATATTTGTATATAAATATATATAAATATTTGTATATAAATATATTATAATATTATATGATCGATAATGGATAATAAACGTACCGCTACTTCTACTATATAAGTATTTTACTAATTTACTGTACAATTGTTTTAAAATTTGATAATAAAAAGTTGTATTATTTATGATATATATCATACAGAATTGGGAACAAGTCTAGTTTACCGGGCACATATTTTTTTGAAATTTTTTTTTTGAAAAGGGTTGTTTTGACGAGTTAAGAACGATGGTGCAAAAATAAAATTGCGGAAATGATTATTTTGGAAGTTATAGCTTCCCAAAGTTAACGATTTTACGTTTATACGCGTGCGCGCAACACTACTATAATGCCGCGCGGAGGACCTCGAGTTTGGCGACCGTTTGGCGACCGTTTGGCAACCCTTTTAAAAAAAAAATTTCAAAAAAAAAAGGTGCCCGGTAAACTAGACTTATACCATGAAATTGAATTAATTAAAAAAAAAATAATACATTGATACTTGGTACATATTACACACAGTGGAGTATATATGAATTAATTTTATGGTTGTGGGTGAATATAGGGCGAACTGGGGGGCGTATATAGGGGGGTATATACGCCACTGCATATACATATACACATGAAGAGTAAGTGTTTGTAATAAAGTTATAAGAGATTATTAAATACAAAGTGTAATCATTTTTTGAGCGGAGCGAGAAAATTTTTAAGGTAGGTATATCGTATATATAGGTATATACTATATTCAACTACTTTTAGGTGCGTATACCCATAAATTTATTTACCAATACACCACTGTACCACACCATATAATATTAATTATGTTTGCTCGTGCGTCGCACGAAAACAAATTGTGAAATCGAAATCGACTGTCAAGGCCGCCCTGCGCGGTGAATATAACATGGAAGTCATTATACGTTGGTATTTAAAATACCGTTTTATGTAAAAATTAAAAACCGGTAAAAAAAAGTCGCAATGACGTCAAAAAATAATTGCAATACAATATTATATAGATAACGGGGTGGACATGTATAATAATATGTCACGGTATATTATGTGTCCGATTTCAGGTAGGTACATACCTATGTAAAAGTACCTTAACGCGTATACAGCAGTAAATTCATTAAAACATAGTAAGCTTTTCGTGGAAAACTATTATTCGAGATTCCGACATAACGTAAAAATATTATGAAACCGTGTGAGAAGACGAGTAAATAAAAAGTAAAGTGCTACTTAATATTTTCTCCTCTGCATGGTAAAACAATAAATTATTGATGTGTTTCAGTTCGAGATCTCTCTGGCGTTCATAATTTGAAGTCAAAATATAACGAGTTTCAAACAATTTAATCTATGAAGATGATTTCTAATGACACTACTATAATAGCGCAAACAAAATTCGAATAAGTGAAAAATAACTATAATGGGTATGATTTAAAAAAATTTGTATCACTGTATCAGCAAGGTCTCTATAATAACGTATGATTATATTGTGCATAATATTATATGAAATTTGAATTTGAATACTAATAAATTGATAAACGAAAATGATAAAAGTGTCACAAATATTTCTAACATATTATTTTGTCATATATTAAATATAAATTAATAAAAACATAACTAATATTATCATCGTTACTGCTTCTTATCAAGGCTCACTAACATACTAAGGGGGCTAGGTTAGGTTTGGTTGATTAAATCATGGTTTAAAATATTTATAGAAATCTTATGAAAATCAAAATCGATTATTTGTAAATTGGTAATTTATATCAAAATATTAATTATTTTATACATATTTTTTTTTTATACGAATCGATAAAATATTTTAAAATAAATGTTAATCAAGTTCAAAATTTAACAGCACCTAACACATCTATTCTCTAATATCTATAATATTATTCATTGGTAGTTTATAATTAATAACTTATCGTTTTAATAAAATCAGCAATTATTATCAATCAAAATATTATTTTAAATTGAAGTCAGAAAAAAATTATATTGATAAGTGAAATTGGAATTAAAATTGAAAAATGTCATAACAATTTCAAGTTGTTAAATGCAGCCATGGAAACATCTGCTTGTTTTAATTTTGTGACATGAGAAATTTGTAGAAATTTGTGTCTACCCTCCGTAAAGAAGTTTCACTTCAAATCACATGGCTGGCGCAGAAATACAATACAACAACGTCGGCACGATAATAATTCTTAAATCACGGTAGTTTGATGGTAGATATGTGTTACACGACTTTTTTCTTTTGTCATCGATCTGCCATAGCAGTCGGTTAAGTGAGTTTGATAAAGGTATTTTAGTAATCTTATACGGAGTCGTTCAGAGACTCGGAGTTACTTCAATTCATATGCGGTATTATCAGTGTCGATGCCTGTTTAACTTTTATTCTAGACATATTGATTTTAGACTTAGAAACAGTATCTTATTATCCTCTGAAAAACATTCTACTTCTAAATATTATTATGGGATAAAAATATACTAGTATATTGCCGTTAGAAAAAAGAACAAATTCATGATAATCATAAAATGCAACAAAATATGGCTTAAAATTTGGTTGGGTAAAAGACACTCATAACATTACAGAAGAAAAATATTAAAATTGTGCTGTGAACTTGAGGGTCGTGACGAGTGTATAGGAATAGCCCAACACTGACAATCAGTCGTACTAGGTAGCTGACCACTATGTTTGTTAAGCGGCAAGCATATTAAAATAGTTTTTGGTTTCAATTAGTCATTAGGTATTAGTTTTCGAACTCGATTGGTTATATTTCGAACCAAATTATCTAGGTGTGAATTTATGCCTATGTGCAAACAAATCACCGGTATAATTTAATAATGATCTATATTCTATACAGGAAACCCGACCGTCCCATAAAACCTACGCGCTATGGCGAGATATCGTCGACGCAAGAAAAATAGATCGAAAATCGACCTAGGCGATAAATCATAATATTTTATTACTGCGACGACGACCACGACGACGATAACGACGTCATCGTCTGGTTGCGCATCCTTATCGTGTCGGGATGGGTGCGGATGTGGGCGCGACACGTCCGTCAAACTGGGCGCAGGGGAAAACGACCGTATTTCAACGGAATATTAATGCCAACGATTAATAGTAATAATAACATTATACACCGCCGCCTGCATAGCTACTGTTTTAAAAACAAAACACAAAATTAGTATTTAATTCAATTTTGCGTTATACATAGTAGGTCATAGACTTGCGATGGGGCTGGCTGACGTAGTACTTGATGAGTATGACGTGCCCGCGTGGGGATGTGTGTGTGTAAAAGACTCAGTCCAACGGAGGTCGCCAGGCTCAACGATTGTTCTACAGTGTATAATATAATACCTATATTATATTATTATATTTTATATTTTTGTTTGGGTTTCAAACGTTTAAAAAGATAATAAAAAAAAATGTAATTTAAAAAGAATAGTATTATATTATATTATAATACTACACCCATTAGGTATACGACCGTGTTACAATGCGCCTATTGTATTTGCGCTAGTTTGATCTCGACGTGCTTAATATAATACGTATTGGTATCAACTCTCTCGACCGGGACTCGGAAGTCGCAGCAGTACTCATTAGTGGCTTTAATGTACGTTCTTAAAAAAGGAAAACGCTCGAGTACATATTATTATTATAATGCGAGCTATACGCAATAAGTGACAAAAATTAACCGAGAACTGAAAAACTTAATTTTTTATCGTATTAAAAGAACGTACACCTAGTTATATTATAATTTTATGTTCTCACTTGAATTACAAAGAGTGACTTAGAAAAAAATTTGCATTTTAACTTAGCAGCGATAGTAAGTTGTTCAAAATTTTGAGAAAATTACGCATATATTAATAGTATATACTACAATAATATAATATTACAGAAACGTTACAATAATTTAATTTTTCTTTATGGAAAAGGATACGGTCTCCGTCGTCTGTAGTCAAGTGGCCCTTGTATTCGGGCACGTACGGTCTCAGAACGTCCTTCATCAGCACTTGGAAGCACAACTGTTCTTTGGGACAAAGTTTCTTGAGGATCGTACCAGGTTCCGGACCGGCTTTGAAATTGCCTGCGAAAACGATAAAAACACGTTATTATTATATTCATATACTTATAAAGGTATGATATTCATAAAATATCTCAATATAATATGTAGGAAACAGTTTTTTAACTATACAACACAAATTTGATGTGCCGATGTTAAGGTATACTATAAAATAAAATAAATAAATCATATTTGATCGATTCCATTATATTAATAATACAATATCTATTCTCGTCAGAGCCGCGCATCTCCCCAACAACTTCCCTGTGTTAACGTGATCACGTGGTTCTCAACGCACCAATTGAGTCATTCAAGATGCGCGAAAAGTGATTATTCTCTCGTGGAATAGACGGTATGTCCTACCACCAAGCACCAGATTCAATATGTGACCAGCTACAGGCTTTTGCCCAATTCTTTCCATGTACCTCTGTACCAGGCATATACTAGGCACTTATAATATAGTATACATATTTAATATTTTTAAATTATTATAGAAAAAACAATATATCATTTGTTTGTACACAAAATTAAAGTTAAACCATTTTAATTCAAAGTATAATGTCTAACCAATAACCATTATCTATAGGAATACAATGTTAAACAAGCTGTAATTAAAGGTAGGTAGTTGTATTATTATAGTTTTACTCATTTTATTTATAAAATATCCTATACAAATTCAGTATATATACAATATACATATTACTTAAAATATATGTTCATTGTACATAAATATTAATAGATATTACCATATATTTTACTATTTTAGTTATGTAGATATACCTAACTAAATATTTAAAATTATATAATATGGTGCCTAGTTGACTGCCAGATTCGTAGATGGATAAGTCAAAGTTAGCGGTAGCATATCGGTACAAACGAATTCGTCAGTAGGATCCATATATTCAGTCCCTAACGTCGATTGCGTCTTGTATAGTAATATAAGTACCGTGCATCTTCTATTCCTCTGTCTAGTTTTGTTCATCAGATTTTTATTTTATAAAATGTAAATAGCTGTTTATAAACTAGAATTCGGATTTTATTTATCGTACCACCCTTTTCAGTTTAACACGGTTTTATGAAAGTGTCGCAATCAGATTAAAGTTGAAAATTCAAAATGATTGAACATTTCGAGAAAACCAAAGTTTGAGTTCGTGAAAGTGGAAGTTCGAACTACGCTCAGTTAAAATTATGGTGGAAAAAAATATCGCTTATATATAAGTATACCTACCTATGCCAAGCGGAAGAATAGATTATTTGGGCGCAGCTAATTCCTTGCATGGAATCAAAATTACGAAATGTCAATCGACGATTAATGTACCCAAGTGTTGTTGCATACGATCACAATTATAATAACGATTTTCGAACACGATCGCAGCGGTGCACCTTCGAACGGATTAGTAATTCGATACGCGCGACGATAGGTTGTTATAATATAATATTATATTCCAAAACGATATATGTATATGATAATAATTGTACGTCACTACAGAGTGACTTGTTTCCGTGTCCATATACTTAGGTACCTATGACGTATGTGTATAGATTATATGCGTGGACGCGTTGTTATTAAACACATTGACGCGACTAAGCCGATGCAATATATATATTATATAGGTACTTGTGCCGTGTATGTATTATATATTATGTAGGTACTGGGTGATTTCGTCAACGCGAATCATCACGGCAATATCTCGGGAAATAAAAAGGAATTTAAAGAAATCAAAACTCTAATTTCAACAACAAACGATCTGAAAAATGGAAAATAGTAATAATGTTCGTGAAAATTTACAAAAATTAGTTCTTCGCACTTCCTAAGATATCACGATAAGTTTGCGATAAAATAATAACCCTGTATATAATATAGATAGTACCTAATCATACTCATATTTAGCTAATATATTTAACCATTTAGGTACTATTCAGATGAGCATTAATTTATATATATATATTTTTCACTACAATTATATTTTACTAGTGATACGGCACGGCACGTATATGAAGACGTATATTATGACATAGGATTTACGCATCGAATAAATAGCGATAATTGTTTAAGCACATTTCGTATGTACATTACAAGAGTTATTAAAAACAAACACTTCTACTTATATTCGGTGAAATGTTAATTTACACTATTACACTAATACGCTATATTATAGAAGGCGAGGGCTATTGTATTTATTTATTTACTTAAGTGTTACATACACCGAGCTCGATTACATCAATTGTGGATATATTAATTAGTAATAATAACTAATACAAATAATATAAAATACTTGTAGCTATATGAATAAACAAGCCTAATATTCTAGTATAGTGAATTCTCCACTAATGGACATCTAAAATAGAGGAAGTCTTTTTGGGAACAACTAGGTACATATATTATTAGTTTACGTTATCAAAAAAATAATTTTGATAAAAATATCGATTCAAAATTATTTAAATTTAATAGATTAGGAAAAAATTCAATAAATCTAGATAAAACCAAAGGGAAAAATTTGTTATCACCAATCATAATTACGTTTTTAACATTCTATAACTTAATAAAACATTATTAATACCTAATGTCAAAATTAATATTTTAAATTGAAAATATACCAGTATGAAGCGGAAAATCAACATGACGATTTACAACTAAAATATAACTAAAGTTTACTTTAATAACGACCAATTTATGTTCAACTGGTTTAACAGATACAGATAATAGGATATGAAAATGAAATTATTTCACAATTAAACTATTTAGTTTACGGCAAAGGTAATTTTTGCAAAAAAAAAAAATTTTAAAATGTTAGTTATACTAGTATAGGGATGGAAGATCGTGTTTCAAGTTCTGTTTATGTTGCTTAGATTTTAAAGGTGGAAGAAGCATCTAAAGACTTTCCTAAGTAGGTTTAAATTTTCATATAAATGGCGTTTTTGTTTATTGACGAAAATAAAATTCGAAAATGTTAATTTTTTTCCATCGTACAAACGCCTGTTGCTGGCCCTTTCCATATATATTTTATTGTTTTTGTATTTTGCGATGGAAGGATTTTAGAGACAATTTCAAAAAATAGTGCAACAATAATAACTTTCGAGTTCATATTATTATATTTTTTAAAAGTCCTCGATTAAAATAAAACCACGTGAAATAAGTGTTCTGGAGATAAATTCATTGAAAAAAAAAATTTGGGTGGGTTTATAATATATAAACCCTATAATCCGTTAGGTACAATGCTTTTTAATTGATCAATGTTCGATTTTGAATTATACGTACATAACAGAGTACATATAACATTTACCACTGCTATATCGACCTTAAATATAATATATAAATAAACATCATAACAAAAAATGTTATCAAAACCAATATTTAATTCCAAATGTTGTGCGGGTGGAACAAATTTCATTATATTTCCTATACGGTTCTGCAATATCATGGTTTTTTGTTTTTTTTTCTGGTTAGATTTTTAGCTCTGTCCCGTAAATCATAATTTCATAAAATTATATGTATTGCATACACATACAGCCTGCTGTAGCCTATGGTATTTCAAATTCAAGTCTTCGTCATCACCGTCGTCACGTCGTTTTTTGTAAACTTATACATATACATTTTGTAACGTGTGCGTTTTCCCTTTGTATTGTTGTGTCTTGTGTGAACATGGCGGTTTATGAAATTCTTATCAAGTTTGATGATCATTTGCAGGGTATACCTTCATGGTTATTTATGTTAATGTGAGAACCAGCCGACGTGTCTGAGAATAACTATAATGTGTGATTTTTGGTTTTGGTCAGGTCTTAGATTTATATTATATTGCAAGTATACTATGACGGAAATCAATGCAGATAATATAATTTATTTCTATCAATCTCATCGGTATTTATCCCTAATCTAGGACGGTTCATCTCCATAAAAAAAATCACTTTGTATACGAACCTTTCTTACCCCGAAAATAGTATGATAAGATATTTGGTTCAGACAATTTTGATTCTATAAGGCAAATTTTTTTTTCAATATAATATTTTGTTTGGGATTTTCATTTTTGATTCCAATAAACGGTTGACGCTATAAACCAGTGATCATATTAAGCGGAACTTACTGTAGTAAGAAAATAATATTAAGTTTAGAAATTAGTTCAACATTAATAGGTTTTTAAAATTGTATATGATACGAAAATGGCAATAATACAAATATAATACCTATGTACAATTTAATTACATCAAAAGTCAAAACTAAAAAGTCTTAAAAATACTTTAATGGGATATATTTCATCATATTATTATCTTTAATAATACACTTAATGGCGTTAAAGTATTCAACTCGGGTTGTATATGTATATTAAACCATGGTCGCACCCAGGAATTTTTCAATGGGAGTTCAAATTTTTTTAACATGTAAAAAGTATACAATCAGTGGTTTGCACCTTAGGAATTTGAAATTCTGTCAATAAATGGGGTGGTCCAAATCCGACCCCCCCCTTAGGTACGCCCCTGTATTAAAATATACTAAGACCCAACACCAGTATGTGATATTTGCTATAAAATACTTAAAACACCCTGAGATATATCAGTCGTTAACTGCCCTGAGTACACCAAAACCGGCAAAATCCTAAACAACCCTCTCCCATTACAAGATATCGCTACAATTATCCATGAAAAATAACAATATATCTATTAAATTAAAAATGGCGTAAATCTTTCTAATCATAATATTGTCGTATGGTTAAGTACATAATGTAAATTAATATTCAGAATGTTTTATTTTTGTAAATTGTATGCATATTATATGTATATTATAACTTAATACGACACTATATTGACACTGAAAATCGATTAATGGTTATTATTTATTTATTTGTTTATTATGAATAAAAATAAGAATAATTTAAATATATTTTTAATATTTATTTTTATTTGCAGTCCGTCACGCACTAATACCTCAATCGCGTGGAAAATGCATCAAGTCAACAATAAAAACGCAGCACAATATTATTAGGTATAAAATATACCTCAAAGCTCGAGCTCTCGATAGAATATAATAT